AGCTTACTTATGTTCTAATGGGTGAAGACAATATACGAAGGGGAGCTGGGGAGCAGAGGGGAGGGGCAGAGCAAAGAGGCACTACCCCATGGGGAAAAGCTAATGGTGAGAAAGTGAAAACCTGAGTCAAGCTGCAAGTGAAGGAAGCCCAGCAGGGCCCCTTATGAAATGTCTGGGCTAGGGATTTACCAATCCTGAGAGTGGGTCTGACAGTGCAGGTATCTTTAGAGTAAGAAGGCTGAGTGAATGAAATACCAAAATTGGAGATCCTTTTGACTCATATTTCTCGGTTGTCAAGGATGACAGCAAAGGAAGACCATGGAAATGAACGGGTAGACATGTAAGGCTGAGCTAAGCATGATTATGGAATGAAGCCCAGTGCTCAGGCTAAGAGAATTTTTCATTTGTTTCTCTGACTGAATGTGTTTTAACCTTCAGTCTGGCTCCCAACACTGAGCAACCAGCCCAACCAGGACTGGGCAGGAGAACACTTGGAGTAAGGGACACTGTGCAGCTCCCAGCCTAGACCCACTGACAGCAAAGTCAAGTACAGGAAGGCATGATGAATACAAAGAATTCAGAGAGACATGGGAGACTTGGATGAGCTGATGCAGAGAGAAGAAAGAAGAACCAAGAGAACTATGATTACAATTATGTAAATGAAGACAACACTAAAAGTACCCAGAGCACACCTAGAAGAAGGAGGAGGAAGAAGAAAGGGAAGAGGAGGGGAAGGAGGAGAAGGAAAAGAAAAAGGAGGAGGAGGAAGAAAAGAAGAAAGAGGAGGGAAGGAAGAAGAAAGGAAGAGGGGGAGGAGGAAGGACAGCAAGAAGTTTGCATTTGATAATTATATTAATGCATTAATATATAATTAACATAAATATAATTATATGATACAAATAGAATTTATAATTGTTTCTTAATATATAGATATAATTCATCATAATTTAGATATCATTCTCAACCTTCAGGAACTGGAGACCTCAGACATACATGGACCCTCAGCTGGCCTCTGACTTCAGTCCTTATTGTCCCCCTCTACCCCAGAAGGCTTTGGGATGTAGATCAACAGAAGTACAGACTTAGTACACTGCCTCCCCAGCCACCAACCTGACAGTCTAGAAGAATGGGGCACATGGGAGGGGGGTGGTGAGGGGAAAAGAAGAGTGGAAGGACATGTTGGGCCTAGATTGTACAAAATGGGGAGTTGGGGGGTCTGGGTTTGAGTCCTGGAGCTGCCAGTAACCCACCTACAAGATGAGTTACCTCACCTCTTGGAGTTCATCTTTTACCTATAAAGTGGCAATGAAATTTGAGCTTCCTTTAGCACTGAGTGGTTGTGAAGCTTTCTGCACCTTGAAGCTTTGTGCACCTTGAAGAACTCTAGAAATGTGAGGGGCCATGGTCATTGTCACCTTTATTAGTATTATGGTTTTTGTTCCACAGGCAATGGGGAGCCATTCATGATTGCAAACCAGGTGTGACCTAATCCAAGTGATGCTTTAGAGAGATTAATCTGGTGAGAGGATAAACTGGAGAGAAGAGAGCCTAAAGCTAGAGAGACCAGTTAGCAGGAAGCCTCCATAGTTAGTGAGAGAAGCAGGACTTGGAATGGGACAGGGGTGATGAGAAAAGAAAGGAGAGGACAGGTGTGAGAAATATTGAGAGAACTACTGGGATTCTGTGATAGAAACATCCTTTTATCTGATCCTATGCTATCTCAAATAATCCTGCTAATGATTACCTCCAGGAATATAGAGAAGCAGAAAGAATGCTAAATCTGAAGTTGAAAGACTAGGAGACAAATCTTGCCTCTGATAATTACTAGCTGTGTTGCCCTGGGCAAGTCACTTCACTTCTCTCTGCCTCAGTTTCTTCATCTATAAAATGGGGGTCTTGACAGCATCAACCTCCCAGGGTGGTTGTGTGGATCCAGTGAGATAATGTAAATGCTTAGCACAGTACCCACCACATAGTAGATGTTATGTAAATGTGAGTGATTATTATTATACTATAGATCTCCCTTCAGATGAGGCTACTTTCCTCACCCAAAAAATGAGGACAGTAATACCTGTCTCCCAGGGTCATTGTGAAAATCAATCAACTTACAGTGTGTCAGGCGCTATGCTAGGTGCTAGGGATTCAAGGTCAAAAATGAAATCATTCTGTTCCTGCCCTCAAGGGGCTTACGATCTATCAGGGAAACAGTACATACACAAGTCAATCAATGGATAATATATACAAAGAAAATAAAAGGTACTATGGGGGCAGCACAGATGAAGACAGGAAAGATGAAAAGGGGAGGTTCTGAACCAAACTTTGAAGAAAGCAAGGTACACTTCACAAGTCAAAGAGAACCAATATCTTGCTTAGGCTATAGTTCATATGAATCTATAGTTCATAATCTGGAATTTTTTTAGTGAACCCCTCCCCTGAGTTCCTGAGCTCCTTGAGGGCAGGCACTGCCTTTTTCCTCTTTTTGTAGCTCCAGTATTTAGCACAGTGCCTGGCACATAGTAGGTGCCTAATAAATGTTTGACTGACTTCAAGATGAAAATGAGTCAACAGAGTAACATTCCAGCCAACCAAAGCTAGTTTTTTTAATTCATGTATCAATGGGCCTTTTGTAAGTGCTTTGTTTAAAGGTGCTTGAATTGTATTATTAAGCAGCAATCATCAAAATTGCTTGGTACTGGCTAAGAAACAGAGTTGTGGATCAGTGGAATAGGTTAAGTATACAAGACACAGTAGTCAATGACTATAGTAATCTATTATTTGATAAACCCAAAGACCCCAGCTTTTGGGATAAGAACCCACTCTTTGAAAAAAAACTGCTGGGAAAACTGGAAAAGAGTATGGCAGAAACTAGGTATAGATCAAAATCTCACACCATACACCAAAATAAAATCAAAATGGTTTTGTGATTTAGATATAGAGGCTGATACTGTAAGCAAACTGGGAAAGCAAGGAATAGTTTACCTGTCAGATTTATGGAGAACAGAAGAATTCATGACCAAACAGGAGATAGAGAACATTACAAAAAGCAAAGTGGATAACTTTGATTACATTAAATTGAAAGTTTTTGCACAAAGCCAATGCAACCAAGATTAGAAGAAAAGTAGAAAATTGGGAAAGAATTTTTACAACCAATCTCTCTGATAAGGGCCTCATTTCTAAAATATATAGAGAATTAAGACAACTTTATAAGAATACAAGTCATTCCCCAATTGATAAATGGTCAAAGGATATGAACAGGCAGTTCTCAGATAAAGAAATTAAAGCCAACTACAGTCATATGAAAAAATGCTCTAAATCACTATTGATTAGAGAAATGCAAATCAAAATGACTCTGAGGTATCATATCACACCTATCAGATTGACCAAGATGACAAAACAGGAAAATGATAAATGTTGGAGAAGATGTGGGAAAATTGGAACACTAATGCATTATTGGTGGAGTTGTGAAATGATCCAACCATTTTGGAGAGCAATTTGGAACTATGACCAAAGGGCTATCAAAATGTGCATACCCTTTGACCCAGCAATAGCACTTCTAGGTCTGTATCCCAAAGAAATCATACAAATGGGAAAAGGACCCACATGTACAAAAATATTTATAGCAGGTCTTTTTGTGGTGGCAAAGAATTGGGAATTGAAAGGATGCCCATCAATGGGGGAATGGCTGAACTAGCTGTGGTATATGAATGTAATGGAATACTATTGTGCAATAAGAAATGATGAACAGGCTGACTTCAGAAAAACCTGGAAAGACTTGTATGGTCTGATGCTGAGTGAAGTGAGCAGAACCAGGAGATCGTTGTACACAATAACAGCCACGTTGTGTGATGACTAATATTGATAGATTTAGTTCTTCTCAGCTCTTCTTAGCCTCTTCTCAGAGGCCTCGTGATGAAAAATGCTATCCACATCCAAAGAAAGAACTACAGAGTTTGAATGCAGATAGAAGCATACTGTTTGCTATTTTTTTTCTTCTGTTGAGTTTTGTTTCCTCTTTCTGGTGGTTCCTCTTATTGGTTCTAATTCTTCCTTACAACATGACTAATGTGAAAATATGTTTAATAAGAATGTATACGTAGAGCCTATATCAGATTACACACCATCTTGGGGAGGGAGGTGAGGAGGGAGGAGGAGAAAAATTTTAAACTCAAAAGTATATGGAAGTGATTGTTGATAAATCAAAATAAATTAATGAAAAAGAAAAAAGAAAAAAGGAAACAGCAGGTCATTCCACTGGCCCTAGGGACTGGATTTCATTAGCAAGTCACAGTGCTATGAAGACCATCGATTTAAAAGTGACTCAGCCTTGGAAGGGACTTCTGAGGTCGTCTAAATCAAATCCCTCAGAGAAGGAAGTGACTTAAGGTCACACAGGTGTTAAGTGGCAAAACCAGGACTTAAGCCTAGATCTTTCAACTCCAAAATATACAGTAGGTATTATAATTTCCTTGGTCCACACAGCCACAAAGACTGGTAAAACAGACAGCATCTACTCAGGGCAGGTGGGGTATAGTGCCACCTAGCTGCCCAGTAGGGAGAACGTTGGCTATAGAATCCAAAATTCTGTTCACCTTCAGCTTATTAGTTAAGTGATGGCAGGCGAGCCACCCCAGCTCTCAGGATTCACTTCTGCTCATGGAAAATGGGGACACAGCAATGTCTACCCCACAGCAATGCTGGGGGGAATGTGCGCGTACCACAAACATGGGGATGGCCACCACCATGAACTCCCTAAATTGAAATGTTTGATAACCTCAGAAGTCAACTGCTTCCGAGATTCATAGTGTTTCACACTCTTATGAACACACTTTATATGTAAAATAAAGGTTTGGTCTTAAAAATAATGGAAAGAGAAAGGAAATAAAATGGACAAACATTTTAATTCCTTTTCAAATGTGCATTGAGTTAATACAAATAGGTGAGGCATTCTGGGCCCCATGGAGCCAAAATTTTCAAAATATAGCAATAAGGCAACTGCAGGTGCATAAAAATATAACCTAATCTATGTTTTTATTTTTGCAAAATTAAATTCAAGACATGATGCTATTTTTGACGGGTTGCGCAGGGCACCAGCATTACAACCCAAGACTCCACAGCACGGTGTCTCGATCGATGGACATCTAGTTTCTGCATTTTTTTTGCATTGTCTTCATATCCCAGTAAAAAATAAATTCTTTAATAAATAAATATATAAAATAAATATAAGCAATTTGAAAATGTATAAATAGTCCATCCAAAACCAAACAAGAAGACCCTTTTCCAGGTTGGCGGCCTGGCTGGAGACCCAGTCCATCCACCACTCTCGTGAGTCCAAGTCCGATGCCATCCTCGGATGTCAAAGAATAAGATTTGTGGCAAATCATCTCCACCTGTTCTTCCAGTGCTCTCTTCTGCAGAATCAAAAGTCGTGACTTCTCATCCTCCTCTCAAGGTAAACATGATCCAGGAAAATTAGGCACCCACAAAGAAGCAGAGTCAGTCAGGTTTCAACCTTAGTCAGTAGTCAGTTAACTAGCATTTAACAGCCCAGAATGAAGATTAAATCCACAGCTACAGAGTAGGCTTCATCAGCCTGAAACCAAATTTGGGTAAAGGAAAAATGAAAACAAAAGAACAAAAGATCCTCACTGTACCATCCTTCCCTACCCAGACTCTTTAAGCCAGGATTGGGGTGGGGGGGGAGGCTTCTAGGCCACTGAGACAGTGCCGCTGAAGAGAAGGATGTCCCATGAGGCCATGGCCCCTGCTCAGCTGTATAGCAGCACATCCCTATAGAGCTCAGGCACCCTCTCTGGGTCCACTGGCCTGGGCAAAAAGTGTGTGAACTTCTGGTGACGCCTGGACCGAGACCCATCACGTGGAGTGCCATCTTTGTTGAGGGCGACAAAGAACCTGCGGCCTGAGTCGCCATGTTTGTGTGCATGGGATGAATACGTGTTGTACCAGTTCTCTTCAAACTGCTCCCTGAAGACACATTCAGAAGTCAGTTTCTCCTGAAAGATGGAAATTAAAGGTCAGCTGAGGGAAATTACAATTTCTTGTTTATGGCTTTGTATTGCCTACCAAGGTCAAAAATCTTTTAGAGGCCCTTGGTCCGCAAGCCGGCTTCCATCGGCATGTCTTAAATGTCTGCTCTGAATTCCCTGAGTCCATGCCAGGCATCACCATCATCATCATCGTCATCATCATCAATGGCTCATCCATTCTCTGCCCTGCTGCTGTTCCACCCTCCAAACCAGACCACACCAGGGAAGAGAGAAGCCATTCAGCTGTGCAATCCCTGAAACCGCATGTCCTCATTTTCCTCCTACTCCTCGTAACCTTGCCTCACTTCCTCTTTCTGCCTCTTGCTCTGAATATTGAAATCAGAAGTCCCATTGCTTCTGCAAAAGGTGTGGCACTGACCTGCCCTGTTGGTCCATTCACTATCCTCGTGATTCCCCCCCAAAAAACTTCCTTCCTGGCCACCATTCCTGTGACATTCTAATAAGGAGAGACAAGGTCCTTGAGGGCAAGAATTGTCTCACTTCCAACGCTTAGCACAGAGCCTCGCATATGGTAAAAGCATTTAATAAGTGTTTTCTCATTCATCTATCTACCTTTCCTAGCTATTCCCTGATCACACCCTGCACGGAGGCTCCAGCCTCCATGTCTTTGCTCATGCTGTACCTTATGGCTGGCTGGACCATCTCCCCTCCTCATCTTTGCTTTTTGTCCTAACTTTTTTCACTTTATTTTTCTTGAGGGTTTTTTTTTTTTGGTCTTTGTTTTCTTTCACAACGTGACTAATATGGAAGTGTTTTGCATGATTACACATGTATAACCTATATTGAATTTCTTGCCTTTTCAGGGCGGGGGGAAGAAAGGGAGAGAATTTGGAACTCAAAGTTTTTAAAAAAGAATGTTAAAAAAGCGTTTTGACGTAATTGGGGGAAAATAAAATACTAAACAATTAAAAAAGAAAGACTGTTATTAGAATCTTGCTCTCAAAAGGGATTCCTTCAGCCCACCCCTCAGAATCAAGCAAGCTCTGTCATTGGGCTTTTTTTAACCTGAGTTAAATGTGGACTCAAATTCATTGCATTTCATTATATAGCAAGGCTCTCGAAATAAACAGTCCAGGGCTCATTAGAGAAACAGAGGAATCCCTCCCTCAGGGTTGAAGGAAAGAACACAAAGAAAGCCCCCCTGGATGTTTGACACTTGTACGTGCCCACATATCCCCCCCACACCCCCTTCAATGCTCCAAAGGGATAAAACACACTCACAGATCCATAGAGCTCCCCTTTGTCATTCATTCCGAGGTACAGGCCAGTGTCCACCCCTCTGATACTGACCAGTCCTACAGCCACACTGATGAATTCCAGGATCCCTGCATTGATAACAAAGTAAAGATGTCTGTTTATTTATTGTGTCCTTGCTAAAGCATATTTTTCTGGCAAAGCCCCCCCACTCACCACCCCAGCCATCCTGGATCCCTCCCCTCCCTCCTCTTGCCTCCTTACAACAAGTCAGTCACATCACACCCATGTTAATAGTTTAATAAACCTATCTTGGCATTTTCTGATAAAGGAAGCATAGGCCTACATCAAGCCATCACAAGAAGACTCTAGGGCAGAGATTCTGAACTTGAGCTCTATGAACTTAATTTTGATCATTGCATTTCAATACAATGGGTTCTTTGTAATGCTATATATTTTATTTATGAATTCTAAAATGAGATTTTGAGGAGGGGTCCACAGACAGACAGCCAAATGGGTAATGGCACAAAAGCAACTGGAGAAGCTCTCTGATCTAGGCCAACACCTCATTTTACATCTAAGGAAACTGAGGCCCAGACACATGCCCAAGGTCACATAGGCAGTAAGCAGGAAAGCTGAAATTTGAACCCAGGTCCCTCAGCTCCAAATCTAGTGATTTTGCTCCCTCACTTACTATACTAGGGCACAGTGCTCCCTTTTCAAGGCTTCAGTTTCCTCAGCTTTAAGATGAAAACTGGGTGAGATGACATCTAAGGGCTCTCTGTGCTCCATCTCCTCTGCTCAGTGTGGGGTACAAGCAGTGACCAAGGCGGTTGCTACGGTGAACAACAACAGGTTTTGGAAGAGCCCCCTTGCCTTCACCCCACGTCCTTGGGGCCACTGCCCGAAGCTCTTCCATCTGGACCCAGCAAGCACTGCCAAAGCCTCCATTTAAAGTCTTAGTGCCTAGAGCTGCCTCCCCTCCAACCAGACCCAGGACAGGAGGAGGGGGATTTGTGCTTTTGCCCAGCTCACCTCCCAAACTCATTTCACTGTACTTCCAATGCACAGAGGTTCAGACCATTTTCAACCTCTGGCTTTCAGAGCCCAGAGCAATGGGCATGGATGCTTAATGAGCTTTATCTTCTCCAGCATCCAGGGCATTGTCTGCTAAGAACTTTGGATGCTCCGGGGAAGCACAGAATCCTTTCAAGCCATCCTGGGGTCAGGCTGTGAGATGCTCATAAACTAAATGACCTTCTAGCACCTGGGAAGAATCAATGCTCCTGCCCAGAGAAGGCAAAGACAGACCAAAGCAAAGAAGAGGAGTTGGGGCGGGGGGGGGGGGGGGGGGGGGAATAGACAATCAAATAAAAATTAACATGCATCAAACTCCTGTTAGAAGTACCAACATTGACCAAAACTTGGCTCAGATGGATATATTTGGAATATTCCATACCATATAGCTTTGAAAACATATTAAGTCCTGAGGGTGGAATGAATATGATCTCGAATACAATGGCTCCATGCCTGATATGTAACAATTCTTTGAATTACTGTTTAAAATCTCCTGCCTTAAAAAGGCTAGGAGCTGTCCTAAAGACATTTAGTATAATCAGTTTTCTAGGTTTTAAAGAATATATTTGCTAGGCAGCTGGATAGCACAGTACAAAGAGTGCTGGACTTGAAGTCAGGAAGACAAGAATTCAAATTCAGCGTCAGGCATTTATTAGGTGTGAGATCCTGGGCCAGTCATTTAACCTCTGCCTACGTTAGTTTCCTCATCTGTAAAATGGGAATAATAATAGCCCCTACACCCCAGTGTAGTTATGAGAGTCAAATGAGATTCATAAAGCATTTTAAAGTATCATATCAATGCTGATTGTTATTCTTACAGAGAAAGTACCTAAATAAACTCATCCCAGAATCCTCATTTTACTTGGAAACTAAGTAGAAGGGGAAAGATACAAAACCCCTCTGTTCCCAAACTGGGCTAGACTTACACGGGTTTACTAGGAAATGAGGATTGACCTCCCCCACCCTCCACAACACAAATGCCTAGAGAATTCTGGGAAATTTAAATAATACTGATTGATCAAAGAGATAGTTGTAAAGCACCTAGCACAGTGCCTGGCACATAGTAGGCACTTAAAACATTATTGGTCTGTTCCTCTTCATTGCAACTGGGAAGAAATTACACTTAATTACTTCCTACAACTGGGGAAAGCTTTGTCTGGTAAGAAACCTGTCTCAGGTGTTGGGGGGAGGGGAGCCATCAGGGAGGCCATCACACTTTGGAATCTGACAGATCAATCAGCAAGCATTCATTAAGCACCTACTGAATGCCACGGAGAAGGCCTTGGAGATGGGATCAGAGCAATTCTTCTGATTTCCAGGTGAATTTTTCAGAGGCTAGACTAGGTTTCAGTTACAGGGAGACACCCTTCCCTAACTCAGGGAGAACCTGTGTCTCCTGACCAGACACCTCCAAGGTCTGGGCCCAGGTTTCTGGAGCTTTTGGTCTGCAGGAAGGATTCCCTTGTGGAAGCTGCTGAGGGCTGGAGGAGGAGCCGTGGTGGGGTGGAGGGAGGGGCTGGGGTGACAAGTACAGGCTCAGGCTCTGTTTGTCTTTGGGTACCTGTAAGTAAATCAATCTGCTCCTCTGGCAAATCCCTAGTGGTATGGGGAGCTAGCCTTGGAGTCAGGAAGACCTGGGCTCAGTCCCACACTGGACACATGCCAGGTATGTGACCATGGGTAGTTCATTTCCCTTGGTGTCCCCAAGTGACTCTGAGGGTTGACAGTGGCACAGAAGGTACCAAACTCTATTGATGGAGTCCTCATCTGGCCATACCAGCCAACTCCTAGGTCCCCGTCACAATCCCAGTTCTTGAGTTTTATAAACTGGACATTCGCAAGATCAATTGGTAACTGAACTGCTGGGGTTGGGGTGGGAGACTGAGATTCATCTAGATTTTCCCCAATTGAAAATGGTGAGCAATCCCCCAGTATCCATAAAGGGCCCTTCTGCACATGTGACAGCCTGTAGTTCCCAGATTCTGACTCATATCCAGGCAAAAAAAGAGAGGATGATCAAATGTGTCTATATTTGGGTCAGAGAAGGCCTGTTCCTATCCCCTACACTCTAGAAAGTGAAGTAAAGACAAAACCTTGGACACAATCAGGAAGAAATCATTTCCCTTCTGTTCTGGGGGAGGGGAGCAGTGGTGGGTGGGGGTGTATTATGTCCGACCACTCCCTCTCAGGATTCAGGCTTCACTGTTTGAAAGCTGCTCTGTTTTCCTCCCTGAAGAAAGAGGACACTCCACAGAGATTTGTAATCAGTTGATTTCTAAATGAGATTTGACAAGGCTTTTTAAAATTAATAATGTAAGGCAGCAACTCAGTTAAGTTCTTTACAAAAAGAGACTGTGGAAAAAGTTTCAAGAGGTAAGCAAAATTCCACATAGTGGGATGTCCTGACGCCCACTGCCCCATGAACCAAAGCAGCAGAATATGGTCATTCTAATATCAGCCTCCTTTAAACTCACCAAAAACAAATGAATCAACCCCTGGGCCACAAATCAGCAAAGTGAGTGAGAACCCAAAAAAGAAAGGCAAAAGAACCCCAAGAGGCCTCGGTTTGATCTCTAGCTCTGCTTTTACTCCAACAAATGATTTCATGGTATCTGTTCTAGGAAATCCAACACTTCGAAGAACAGTTCTAATTCAGGGTTTAAGCTTGAAAGAGAGCTACCTTTCTCAAGCCTGCGAACATTTTACCTTCAGGGCATCCAAGGGACTTTGCTACCTGTGTTTTGGAGGGGTGTTTTTGAAATGAAGTCATACTCAACTCCAAAAACATTTTTTTTTCCTTAAAGTGGTACCAAATTGCCACCAAAGGTAGCAATTAAGCATTCCACTTAATGCCTCCAAAACTGTACAGATTGTTATTTTACAATTTCCAGAAGTCATCCCTGGAATATTTGGGAAATGTGTTCTGAAAGACATGAATCTGTATCTAATGGATGAAGAAGGCGAGGGTATAGGCAAGAGGCGGTCTGGCAGGAGAGCTTCCTCAACCCCTCCCCCAGCCCAGGCATTCTCTGCCGGCCAGGTAGGAGGCAGTCACTCTCCAAGCCACTAGTATGCTCCTAGGGGTCTTGGGGGGGGGGGGGGGGGCGGCAGGGAGGAAGGAAGAAGCACTCTCCTTCCAGTTGGTGCAATATATTCTCCCAGTACCTCAGTATTGAGCTCTGGGTCAGGAATTCACTTGCTACCACCAGAGTCAAATCATTTAAACATCAATTAACACCTAAGCCTGAATGTTTTGGAGGAGAGGCTGGAAGAAGACTGAAGTTCTAGAAAGCTTGCAATCCCACTAGGCAGCATCCATTCTCGGGGGAATGAACATCAATCCTTGCTCAGGAATTTAATCAAGTGTCTATTGAGAGTTTACCATGAGTAAGATACAAAAGTGGACCCAAGTATCTGCCAGTTCCTGTGATCCCCCAGAGCCCGCCAGACCGGGTTGACTGATCCCATCTACAATACATGTGGCAGAACGAGACAAGAATGGCCTTTTACCAGACCCTGAAATTGGATGACTTCACTAGAACAGAAAACCTGGGGCTATTATCACCCCCGGCCACCCGGAAGACTTCCCTCAACTGGAGTCAGTCAGTGATCCTCAAGCTTACTGGGCTCCAAACAGAGCCCAGAAGTCCTGGGGGCGATACCCAGCACTTCCACTCTCACTCAGCTAAGCTTCCTCTATCTCAGAGGCATATTCCAAACGGGCCCACGCTGGCCTCGAGCTCAAGCCCTGAAGGAAAACAAGAGTCGGGGATGGGGGGGACGACGTAGTGGGGGATCAGACGCCAAAATGGAAAACTCGGGTTTCTTCTCTAAGTCTCTGGAATTAGAGTGCCCAACCAGTTCGACAGTTAGCAATACGAAAGTGCAATGATATGGGATACACTGAGTAAGAAAAGATAACACCAAGTTTAGCTCCATGGAGGACTTAGGAGGTCTCAGGGCAATCAATACTGATACCACAAACAACCAGCTGGAGAGAAATCGCAGCCAGTTTGCCCGAGGCGCTGCCCAGCAAATCCTCCCTCCCAGGGCATTTCGGAGAACATTATAGAGCCAGAGGTTCGACTCACCACCCCTCGTTTGGTCTATGGGGAAACTGGGAGGCGAGGGAATTAAGGGGTTTGCCCAAAGCTACACAGGCAGTTCCTAGGAGGCGTAATAAAAGAGTGTATTTACAAGGACTTCTCAAATATTACTGCGGTTGGTTCTCACCGACTGTGGACGGTAGGTGCTACTATTATCACCATGGTCCTGAAATGAGGAAACAAACAGGTTAAGTGTCTGGGGCAGGATTTGAACTCAGACCTTCCCGACTCCAGGTTCAGTGTTCTGTACCCTAGAACAGGAATCCAGAGCCCTCGTTTTAAATCTGGACTACGACCCTCTCTAGCTGTGTGACCCCGGGGCAGGTGGCTGCTCCCCTGAGCCTCAGGCCTTCTGCGAGCCCAGCGGAGCTGTGCACTTCCTACCTCACAGGAAAGTGCTGTGCTCATGTTCCAGGAGAGCACAAGGCTGCGATGGTTTCATCGGACCCCGGATCTCTCTCTTGCTTCTCCGCCCCAGCAGGCTCCCTCACGTGGAGCGTTTCTCCACGAGATTCTGCTCTTTCTCCCCTGGTCTTTCTCACAGCTCCTCCTATCTCCTGGCATCTCTCCAGCCAGCGTCAAGCCCCGTCCTGAACGAGGAAACCGAGCACCGGCCAAACCACCTGCATCTCGTTCTCCCATTGCCCTGCTATTACAAGCTTCAGCCGGGAAGTCCGCGGAATCAGGAAGCTGGGAGTTCGAATCCCAGCTGTGGGGACTAGTGGCCGAGTCACTTAGTTTCTCTGCACTAGTGGTCTGGAAAGTGGCTTTTAGTAATTAGATTCCAACATAACTGGTTTACTTCGTAATCCTGAGTGTTTTATGCATTCAAAAACATGAGCTGCAGAAAGGGTCTTGTAGGCTTCACCAGGCTGCCGAAGGTACCGAGGACGAGAAAAGGGCAAGAATCCCTGCTCTAGACTGGGGCGTTCTCATCCGGTGACGGGGAGAAGAATACTCCCTACTTACTCTCCGTTCCCCAAAACTGTTTATGTGGTAAGTCAAGAACCTTGTAAACTGGGATGGGGCGATGGAGATTGGGGTTCTCACTAATTTCTTGCGGGGGGTGGGGCGGCGGAAAGCATGCTCAGAGGAACAGGGTAGCTGTGAGGCACACACACACACACACACACACACACACACACACAGCCTGCCAATCTCCTCAAATGTCTATTTTCAGATACGAAGAACAAGAAAAGGCGTTTTGTCATGACACCGCAGTGGCTTGGGAGGAAAGCTTCAGAATGCGGAGGCATGATTTCCAGTTGCTTGCTACCTGGGCAACAACCTTTGCTGAGCCTCAGTTTCCCCACCTGTAAAGTGAGGGCATTTCTAAGTCTTCTTCCAAATCGGCAATCCTGACAATCTGGGCTGGAATGAACTCTTCAGGCTATGCTTCCTACAAGAAAGTTTGGAAAGCAGCCGTTTTCCGTCTGGCCAAGCCTGCTGCTGCCGGAGGCAGCTTCTTTCCCCCTCCACCTGCTGGTCCCTGCCGCAGCCAGGGAAAAGGTGGCAGTTGGCAGACTAGAGCAGAGGACAGAGGAAGGCGTCCTGAAGCTGCCTAGCTAGTCAGAGCCTCCTGACACTCTCCACTCCCACCCCCGCCTGGGCCCCGCCAGTGGCCAGTCAGGAGTGCCTGAATGGACTGCTGGGGTAGACCCAAGGCTGCAGACTCCGGGTCCAGGCTTCCCTCTTTATTTGGACATTTTACAGCTAAAGAAAGCGGGGCCCAGCGAGGGCAGGTGGATTGCCCTGACTCACACAGCTAGTGAACCGTTAGGCGGGACGGGGGCGCCTCGGGGTCGGGCTGGCCAGGGCTTGGGGGCCGCGGTCACTCACCAAAGAGGCTGTGGTCCCGCCGGGTGCCCCGCACGCGGCCGTCCGGTAGTATCTGCAGGTGGAAGCCAGTGCGGCAGTAAAGCTGCCTCCGTCGCAAGACTCCTTGCAGGTGAGCGAAGTCGGCGGGCGCCCCTGGACCAAGGCCAGGTCCGGGGCCCCCCCGGGGGCCCAGCAGGGGCGCCCGCGGTCTGGGGCCCTGCCCCACCGGGGGCAGCAAGAAGGGCGCGCCCAGCGGCGGCTGGGCCAAGCCTTCCCAAGAGCCCAGGAAACTCCCGACGGCAGAGTGGACGCCGGCCACGGGAGCCATGAACCGACCGCGGCCGCCGACGGCAGCCTTGTAGCAGTCCCCAAGGAGGATGCAGGGCTAGAGGGTGCGGACTGGGAGAGCGGAGACGGCCCAGCCCGCGCCACAGGGCCAAGCCCCGAGGATCCACAGGTGGTGGGCGTCCAGCAGCACTTAGGAGCCAAGTTCAGAGAAGGGAGACGAAGGAGGGAGCTGCGAACAGAGGAGGCCCATCAGGGAGGACCCTGCCCAGGCGCCTCAGGTGCTGCCCTAGCCCTCAACTGGGTCCACCGCTGTCCTTGCCGGGGAGCGCACTGACGGAACTCATGTACTAGGTCCTCACAGCCCCCTACACCTACTGGCTCTGGCAACCTTGTCTTGCCTCCTGCCCGGGTATTTATGCAGGTTCTCTTGACATATGCTAATTGAGGCCCTTTGGTGGGAGCGGTCCCTCCGCCCAAGAAGCCTTAGCTGGGAAGGGGGTGTTTGAAATTGTAAACCCGCCCTTCCCCCACCTTTTCCCCGTGCCAGGGGCCTCAGGGGAACAAGCGCCTCCATGCTCTCGGCCCTGCCGTGCGGCGGTTCATCCCTCCCCATGGGGGTGCCCCAGTGCACCACCCTCTTCCCCACACCCCCCAAAACGGGGGGCTTTGCTCTCGCTCCCTCTCGCTCCGCGCCCCCGCCACCCCGTCTGGGTTCAGCGGGTCCTCCCCACCCCCCAGGATGGAGGGAGCCCAATTGAGAGCAGAGAGAGGCAAAAGTGGAGCTTCGGGTTGGGGGGGAGGAGGAGGAGGAGGAGGAGGAGGTGGTGATGGAGGGTCGGACCCCGGCTGAGCATTGCGGGGACAGGTGCAAAGAGGTGGGAGGGGAGAGAGGGAGGGCGGGTCCTCAAGGTGGGACCTGCCCGGACACACTTGAACTAAAAAATCAAAGCGGGCTGACTTCCTCTCTAATTTGAAAGCCCTAATGCAGTGTGCGTGCAACAAGCCGCCTTCTCTTTTATCATTTAGATACGGGGGAATTTTTCTTTTGCATAATCAAAAAGACGACTTGTGTCTTGCCACAAAGTGCCCTTTAATGCTGATCTGGTGGGTCTGAGCCCCAGATCTCACCTGGGTAGATGGAGGCTTTGTATGTCTCCAGGGGCTTTGGAATCTGAGTGTCCGGGTCAGGGCTCTCTAATTAACGACGCACTAACACTCTGCAGTCAACACTGGGGCGCTGGGGGAGAAATGAAGGCTTTCAATATCCATTCGTCCAAACTAAGATGAGAAAGCACCTACTAGGCGCAGGGCCACGTCTCTAGGATTGGGAATGGGACACTTTACTGCAAGGCTTCTTAAGCTGGACTCGGTGAAATTACCTCTAAGTTTGTGCACTTAAAAGTAGGAGTCTGACAAAAGACCCGTCGTTTTCACCAGACTGCCAGAAGGGGAGGTGACACCAAAAGGCTTAGAACACTGGACCTGGAGTAGGAGCACCTGCGTTCAACGCCTGCCTCAGATGCTCCGGGCTGTGTGTCCGTGGGCGGGTAACTTGGCCTCTCTGTGCCTTAGTTTCCTCCTCTGTAAAAACACTAAGCTTCACTTTGGTATTCTTCCCAATGTATCCTGTCTACAGCATGTCTGCAGATAGTTATTTGCATGTTGTATCACCCTTAGATTGTGACCTCCTTGAGAGCAGGGACTTTGCTTTTGCCTGTTTCCTCCAGGCTTACTTAGCACAGTGCCTGGCACATAGTGAGAGCTTAATAAATATTTATTTGCTGACTGAACCAGTTACAGATCTAGGAAGGCCGAGGTTAGGTTAGCTGTCTCCTTCCTGCCCTGAGGAAGTCCACCTAAGACACACAAAAGGGATAATGGGCTACCCACCTTCACATGAGTACTTCGGAGTAGTGAAGGCCCAAGTGAATCAGGAGAGGTCTAAAGAGCCCTACAGGGAGGGCCAACAGTAATTCAGAGCCTTTGGAGCTCTGAAGCCCCTTCCGAGGCTACCGGTTCCTTTCTTTTCCTCTATCTGTAGGGACAGCATCACTGTTGGGGGCCGAGAGTGGGTGCTTCTTCTCCAGCTCACAAAATCTTGGGTGGAGAGGCAAATGTTCTGGGCCCTAAACCCCACGGGCTCCTCAGCTCCCCAGAGAAGGAGGAGGTGGGGAATGTATAGGCCCCTGTTAACTTAAGAGGGGAAGGTTGAGACATCTCAGCAAAGTCAGATCGTGCATTGTTGAAATCTTGAGATGGCTCAAGATTTGTGAGAGTCCCTGCCTGGGGAAAGGAGGGAAGATTGCAGTTTCAGTCTGGCCTCCCTTTCTTTTCAGTCCCTGCCTAACCCTGAGAGATCAAACGGGTTGGCTGGCCCGCTCAGCTTTCTTTGCAGGGAGGAGGGGTGCTAATTAATTGGCAGGTGCTTGGCAGCCTGTAAGGCTACACCTTTTCATCAGGGCAGCCCTAAATCCTGCCCCCTACGCAACCAAGTTGTAAAAAGAGCCCCTAGAGAAATGGAAAACGCAACAGCAAGTGCCTGTTGCTGGTTAAACCCAGGCCCCAGAGACCTAAGTCACCTTAGGAAAGGATGCTGGGAGCCTAACTTGGGAGGTCAGAACAGAGAGATGCTAGGTGGGACCCCCAAATCCACCAGAATCACCCTTTCAAAGCACATCTGTGTAAACAGTATCACATCAGTGTAAAACATTGAGGGGGGCGGGGGGAGCCAGTCTTTGAACCAAATCTTCTTAATTGCAGAGTTAAATCAAAGAAAGTTAGATCAAAGTTGAGTAATCCTTAAAGCGGCTATCTGGAGTAGCCAAGGCTCTTGGATCCCTGAAAGGAGAGACCCTGAGAACTGGAAAGTGTGAGGTGCACCTTCCCAAACGGAATCATTTCCAGGTCAAACTAGGGCCTCACAGGAATAGTCCCATTATCGCCATCTCCAGATCGGAGGTAGAGGAGCTGGGCTACAATAAGTGGGAGACCTTGAGCTCAGGTGGGAATGCTCTCCCTTCCAACCTCTGACCCTGAGGCTTCCTTCAGGACTCAGCTACCCTTCTCCCGGAGGCCTTTCCAGGTGCCGCAGCTACCCTCAGCTAGCTCTCTGCCTCCTCTCTATTTATCCTCAATGTTCAGACAGATCCCTTCTCTCCTTAGCCTGGAAGCTCCCTGAGGACAGGGATTGGTTTTGCTTTTCCTTTGTACTAGTTACGTGCCCCGAACCTAGTGAGCTTTCAATAATAGCTTGTGGATTGCATGCTGCCTTTCCAACACCTCTGGCTAAACCTCTGGGGGTGTAGTCCCCAACTCTGCTCAAATGCAGCTCCCTCCCCGTATGCTCAGTTCTGGGGTGTCCATCCAAAAACATTGATTTGGCTCTTCTTATGTGCTAGGCACTAAGGATTGGGAGACAACGATGAAAACAATTCTTCCAGTAGCTGCAGCCTAGTGGGGGTTTGTGTGCAAGGATTTTCATGGAACTGGGGAGGCATCACACACACACACACACACAAATCATACATGCAGGCACCCAAGGGCAACACCAGCTGGAATCATGGTGAGCCAGGAGGTTAGGGAGCAGCCCTGGGCCAGTTTGACTTAACTTTGCCCCAAGGTGGATTGAGCTGGGATCCAGCTGTGGACCTTCGAGGCAAGGAAGATGGAGAATCGGCTCAAAGACTATGGGAGCTCCTAAAACATACATACTCCAACTTCCTTGCCTGAGGCTTCTTCCTTCTTGAACAGCATTCCCCTGGGAATGTTTGAGTATATTTTCATAAAATGGATTGTTTAAGCCCAGAGGTTCTGAATGACCCACAGCACCAAGTACAAAACTGAGATCTGCTCGGGGGGGTGACATATAGATATACATAGTGATGGGCGGATAGGGGGAGGAAGGGCAGGTAAGGCCTCCAATAGAAAGTGGTGCTTGAGCTGAGCCTTGGAAAAAAAAAACTAGGGTTTCTGAAAGATGGAGGTGAAAAAGAAGGGCAACCCAGGAGTGGGGCACAGCCAATAAGAAGGCACAGAGATGGGACATGGTAGTGCATGAGGGACAGCAAGAAGACCAGTTTGGGTGGATGGCTGTGTGCAATAAGTCTGCAAAGACATGAAGGGCCCAGGTTGTGAAGGACTTTAAATGGCAAACGGAGGAATTTTTCATTTGATCCTGGAGGTAATAGGGAGTCACTGGAGTTTACTGACTAAGGGAGTGACTAGACCAAATTGGTGCTCTGGGAAGATTGGTTGGGCTACTCCATGAAAGGTGGATTGGAGAGGGCTGAAGCAGGGAGATCCAGGAAGAGGTGCCTGGAACAGTGAAAGAAGATAAGGGCCTCCCTCAACCAGAGAAGAGGTTGGAGATGGATGGGAGGTGTCATGGAGGTCAAAATGACAAAATTTGGCAACTGAGTGAATTTGCACATAGAGGGAGTGTGAGGGGTCAAGAATGATGGAAGGTTGGGATTTGAAAAATGGTAGTGCTCTTGACAGACACATAGAAGTTTGGAGAAGGAAGGGGTTTAGTGGGGGGGGATGAGTTCCTTGTTAGATATAATGAATGTGAGCTGACTAGGGGGCATCTGGTGGCAGCTGATGATGAGAGACTGCTATTCAGGAGAGACACAGGGCTGGGTGCGGAGCTCTGAGAGTCATTTCCATAGAGGTGATCACAGAACCCACAGGAACTGAGGAAGCGACTACCAGAGGAAGAAGGCCCAGGAGACAGCCTGGGGTGGGGTACATCCCCCGCTTAGGGCTTGTGCTGTGGAGGATGATTCAGCAAAGAAGACTGAGGAAGAGTGGCCAGACAGGCAAGATGAAAACCAAGAGACAGCAGTGTCTGACAAAGCTGAGGGGAGCAAGCATGGGGTGGAGGGTTGTTATGCCAAGCATTAGCTGATTGCACAAGAACTTCCTGGAAAGTAGGCAGAAGCTATATGGACCCTCCCTCATATTTTGCTCCAGCAATGGAGATAGGAATGATGTTTAACAATATTCTTGAGGCCCAAAGATGAAAGGACAATAGAGTGTGAC